GAAGAATGAACTTGTGTCTGGTATTTATAATCAACGTAATCACATGACAGGCTCGAAAGGCATTGACAGATTTTAGGTGGAATTATTTTTTAGTCAGGTCAAGAACTAGGTCAATTTTATTCAGACATAATTGAAAACATGATTTAATATTAAGTGACCAATCAGAAGTTGAGGTTTTCTGAAAATATGTATGAAGCTGAACAAGCTTTGTAATCCACATTGTGCACAGATTTGCACAAAAATTGAGTTTGATAAAATAGTGGTAGCGGGATGCTAAAAAATAAACTAATCACAAATAAAACAAAACATTTTATTTAAGAGTTGAACATTCTGGTTTTATAAAGTTTTAATTTGAATAGCACCAGATATGCTTTGTGATCTGCCAGTATATTTTGCTTTTTTCTTAACCATTTTATTTGCTTTATATTTGCAGCAAATTTTAAGCAAAGCTGTCTGGGAATAATAACATCTTTTATCACACTCCTTTGCTGATTGTCTTCTTGAATGAATTTTATGATCCTTTCCAATGTTTCAATTGCTTGAAATCATATTTACAAATTTCAACAAACAAATAAATGTTAGATAAATTTTATGATAACCTTTAACCTCTGTGCCTGCAATAAAACATTGTATCAAAAGGATGGTTTTTCCATTGATATTGTTATTATATTAACTACTTTCACACCCTCAAAAATGTCTGTTGTTTTAAAAAGCGATGATTAAAATTTTAATAAAACTCAAACATATGAAAGTGAATTTATACATTTTCTTTCATCTTTGAGAACTTAAAACAAAAATATTAAACACTATGTTTCAGATATGAATCAACCCACAACAAAGAAAAAGGTGAAAAATGTGTTTAAATATAAAAATATAAAATAAATATAAATTTTTTGTTTTTTACAACTAACTTTCTTAGTGTGTATGAGTGTTAAAGTTCACTCAGTCCTTGTTGGTAGCTGGATGTTAAAATGAAAAGAAATGTTATTTCTTCATATGTATGTGTGAGAAAAAAAAAGGCAAGGGAGAAAGTCAGAAGGAAAGTGTAAGTGTCATGTAGCTTGGTGAAGAATATGGGTGAATGAGTAAGGGAATTTTTTTAAGCTGAGCGTGTTGGGAACTATTGCAGTCTGTCTCTCCTTACTGGCTTGTCTGGTCTAGAAAGTAGAAATTTGTTTTTTTTATAAAATGGAAAACCATTGGAAATATGTTTTTTAATGGTTCACAACAATCCAGAGATGGTTTGTGCACATCATACAACATATAACTGCTGATTACTACATGGCAAGCCTGTAGAAAATTCTGTTACCCAGGTTTTTATATTAAAAATCCAAACATCTGAAGTTCAAAATACAATAAAATAAAAATAAAGAAAACATGTGTATGCCTGTTAAATAAATCATTTGTATTTACAAACAAATGCGCATGAATTCAAAAGAGTTAAAAAAGATTAAAAATAGTATTTTTTTGAGTTAAAGTTTTTGGGTAGTTGGTTTACGGAAAGAGCTGTGATTTAAGAAAGACATTTAAATAGTTGGTTTCAGAGTGATTGAGAAAAGACTATCGTTAGCAACTGTCTTCATTGTTGTTGGAGATGATTTTTTTAAAGTCAGTGACTGGCCATCCACATTGTTGGAGATGATTCATTTAAAGTCACTGACTGGCCATCTATGTTGTTGTTGGAGATGATTTGTTTAAAGTTGCTGACACATGTTTCTCTCATGAAAGACAAAACTATGTAGCCACAGCATAGAGACATTCACATCTCTCTTCCTTGAAAGTTGAAATCTGTGGATTTTATAAGAAATTTCTCCCAAAATTAGGCTCAAGAAAGATAGGGTTTTAGCTTTTTCAGATTGGTCAAATATTTCACATGGTGATGTTAATTTCTAACCAACAGACACTTTGATTCAAATAGTGTGTATTGATTTTGTGGAATTTTTTTAGGCATGTTTGTAATATTGTTTGTTATTGGGTAGAAAAAGTTTGGGTGTGTTTTAATATGGTACTAGACCACCTATGACCCATTGGGTCAACCTTGTTATATTGCTGTTTACTTTCAGTTTCATGAAGAGTTTGTGAAATTAGAGATATTTTAAAAATACATTTATTTGCTGTTATTGAAGTTGCTTTCAACATTAAAAAAATTGTCTGTTTAAAGAAAGCTGAAATATAAATAAGCATAAATGCAATCACTGGAAGGTGGAAAGAGAGAGAGGTGAGTGGAAAGAGAGAGGTGAGTGGAAAGAGAGAGAGAGGTGAGTGGAAAGAGAGAGAGAGGTGAGTGGAAAGAGAGAGAGGTGAGTGGAAAGAGAGAGAGAGGTGAGTGGAAAAGAGAGAGAGGTGAGTGAAAAGAGAGAGAGAGGTGAGTGGAAAGAGAGAGAGAGAGAGGTGAGTGGAAAAAGAGAGAGAGAGAGGTGAGTGGAAAGAGAGAGAGAGGTGAGTGGAAAGAGAGAGAGAGGTGAGTGGAAAGAGAGAACATTTTTTTCTCCATTTCCTTTTCTACCCCGACTTCCTACATGATAATAAATTCATACCTTTCTTTCACCACTTTCTATATATGACTTCTGGCAAACACACAAGCAATGTTCACAGACTTTTATAGTAATAAAGATGTACGTGACTATGAAATTATGTTGGCAGTAGTGTTTATTTCCTATAAGCCTCATCCAATTGGAGAAGAGCTTGTGCCATCATTGATTTTTCATGTCTGTATCTAAACCAGTGAAACATTTTGCACTTGACTTCCATGTAAAGTTCTTTTTCTAATTGCTCCACTGTAAATATTTTTGTATAGACCTTGTGGCAGACTTCACAAATTAATTTAACTTTAGATTAGGAAACAGGGCTGATGCAGAAAAGGATAAGCAAAAGACATTGTTACACATAAAATATGTATTTAACAAGATATACATTATCAAACAACGATGTGAAAGAAAGCATGCTTTTAAGTAAGAAAAGGTTGAAATAAACAAGAGTTGTCTCTCTTTAACTGTTATTTTAGTATTTCAAAGTTCACTGGAAAAATGTTCATGAGAGTCTCTTATAATGACTGTTCTTAACAGATTTGTCGTGTTAGAAAAGATTATGTGAGTATATACAAGGTATGTTCAGCAAGTGAGTGGTGTGTGTGAGTGAAAAGGTTGGCGCATGGTTTCAACTGTCATGGATTTGTTTGGCAGCTGAATTCTTACTAATTAGCTAAGAAAAATTCTTGCTTAAAATAGGCTCCAGATCGCTGCACGGGAAGAATTATTCTTTACATGCAGGTGATCTGATTGGTTGGCATTGACCAATCAGTGATCGAGCTTTGGGGAGACTTAAGAAAGCTTCTGTGATCCGTTTCTCCCAAAAGTGCATAAAACTGACTACATAAAAATAGAACGATTACAAAATTGTTGCATTGTTGCAATTTGTAAATTGTCTATAATAATGTAGTGGTGATTAATTAATCAATGAATGCTTGGCATTGTATGTTATTTGTATTTTTGTATGTATGTATGTATGTATGTTCGTGTGTAATAGATCTGCACAACTTCACTTGTGAATAATCAGCAAGAATTTTTCTATTTTGAAAATAAATTAATTTACTTCCTATTTTTTGATGGTGAAAATTTTATTTCTTTAAATATCATAATGTTATACTCTTCTTCAAATTAGATCTCTTTCTGATTCACTCTACAAGTCAGCCAGGTGTAAACACTATGTAAGTGAAGCCAAAAATAAAATGTTTTTCTCTTCACAGAGGCTCCAAACATCAATATCTGCCTTACAAAACAAATCCCTTAAAAAAATTATAAAACACAATATAAAAGAAACCATTTACAGTGAACATCAAGCTTCATTAATCCACTCTAGGCCTCTCTTGACATCACCAACACGACCTCAGTCAACCAACCCAACAAATGCATCAACTCCAGACAACTCTTATCAACACCAACCTTTCTTCAAAGCCACTTCCCTCACCTCTATTTAAAGACATTCATCTGCTGTATTGGCAATACAATAAAAAGTGTTATATTTGCCAATCTTGTCTTCTTTTCACCTCATGAGTGGCACTGTTGCTTCATTTGTTTCTTCTGTGCTACCATATATATTTATAACAATAATTTTTCATTTTTGCCAAAAATGTTCCATAATTTGAGACTGAAAAATAATAAATATATTTGTGTTTTTCTTGTTCTTTATAATCAACATTTCATATGACAGAATGTGTTCCAGATTTAACTTTTTACAAATAATAATTATTCTATTAAAAAATCTTGATAAATAATAAAAAGATTCAGATATAATATTTTTTATTATTATTATAGGCCATCTTACTTACAAACAAGCCAACTATCATCAGCCAGTTATACAAATTATCATCTCACCCAACAAAATTGACCTTTGACTTTTACTGATGCAAGGCACCCACGTTACAAAAATATATTTAAAAAATGTTTTTAAAGTAATTTCTTTGAATTTTGGGGCGTAGTTAAAAATCGAGTAAAGAAAGAAAATATTTTATAAAATTGATGTTATGATTATTATTTTATTTCTAAATAAATTAAAAAAATGTTTATTTTTTTTTACAATATCGATTGTTGTCAGACGTTGTTGATTTATTGCTGATTAAAGAAAAATATTTTATTTCTGTTTATTAATTCAATTTTAATAAATTGAATTTTTTTTTTCCATGTAAGTCGCAAATTTGGAATCATGTTTGTCGGGAAAATAAAAGTCATAAGAACTCGTTGTTTTTCGAAAAGAACATTTTGGTTGGTGATTTGAATGCAAGTCGTTCCCTTGAGGAGAGACGATTTTTGAGGTGAACGATGTTATCTTGGCTCTATTTAACTTGATAATATTTCTTCTGCAATTTGTGTGACTTTTCTCTGCGAATTGTATTAAATACGATGGATATGTCTACTCCTGTCAAAAAAAGCGATCTTTTAAACTAAAGTCATAGCAGAAGCATAAATTAATTTTGAGTTGTTTCCCTTGATTTTTCAGTTGCTATGGTTACGAAGTTTACGCGAACTTCAATTTTAGAAGCGATTAATTTCGGAAAGGTAAACTTACTTTTGTCATTTAATTAATTAAAATTTAAAATTACAATTTAAGAATTATTTTTTTTTAATCTAAATTTTAGTCATTTTTCTTTATTTCATTGATTAAACATTTTCTACTGGTGTAAAAAAATATTTATTTTACAATTCAATTTACAATACTACATGGAAATCATTTAAATTTTTGAATATGAATTTTTTACTAAAAAAAGAATACAAAATAAGGAGAAAAGTGTTTAATGTTAAATGAGAAAATTTCAAAATTTTGTTGACAGTTTACTTTAATCTGCTCATTTTAGAAACTCTGTTGTTCTTGTTTTGATAATTGTAGCTAGAAAATAAATTACGTTGATTAAACAGTGCATTACGTGTTACTGTAAAAAAAAAAGTGATAATCTTTTTCTTTTTGTATTTTGTTAAAATTATTTAGAAAGTAAAATAAATAATCGATAATTAGTATTTCTGAACCTTTTAGTATTTTATATGCATTCTACATTTTTCGATAGCTTTAAAAAAACCTTGAAGGAAAAGTATGAAGTACTTTTTTTTAAAGGTCTCCCTTATTCTTGCATTTGTGACTAAGAAAACAAATTGATAAAAAATGCTTTAAAAACGTGTGGTTTTTTAAATTTTTTTTTTTTAACTATGATTATATTAAAGAAAATACAAATTAGACAACAAATGAACCTTTATTTTTCTCTTGTTCCTTTGATAATTAACATTTTTCTCTTCTGTTAATGCGTTCACATTTTTTAGTTTTAAAGGTAAAAAATTCACTTGTAAAGTTACCCAGATAACAAGTGAAACTGTTTTAATTTAGTAATTAAAATTTAAATGAAATACAACAATTCCCTGATATCTGGTAATTTAATTTCTTAAAATTAGCTGGTACTTTCTTTTTATTGGGTGTTTGTGTTTTTGAGTCAAAAATGCATGTTTGGAGATGCTTTTCAATTTTCATTTATAATTAAACAAGGAAGGATTTAATTTTAAATTTAAGCTAATTAACAAATTGATCAAAACTTTTTCAAGGAAGATTACGCAAAAAATTAGATAAAAGAACATTTTCATCTTATGACATTATATTTTCTGACTTTAGTTTGTTTAAATTGAATCTTTTTTCTTTGTTTATTAAGTTTTAAGTTTTGTATTTTTTCAGGTCAGGTATATACGAAACCACTTAGTGAATTGTGATATTTCTAACTTTTTTTTTTTTTAACATTTTTATAAAGCAAAATCCCCGAAGGTGGTCAGTTTCTGTTTATAAATTTTATATTTTTTAATAATATCGAGTTTATTCATAGAAAATATGGTCCCAAATCCTAAAATATTCAAGAAAATTAAAAAATAATTTTTTGTGGGGAATTGCTAATAATTATTTTAATTTTAATAAAAAAATATAACTCAATAAAAAAAACTCAAATTCAAAAATTTTTGAATTTTAAAAGTTTTAAAATCGTACTGCAAAAATTTTTTGCAGTACGATTTTAAAACTTTTTAGATCTTGGTCGTTGCCAATAAACTAAAAATGTGTTAGAAGAATCGAAAAATAAAGTTTAATGTCGTTTTGTAGTGTGGACATTTTTTAAAATAATCTTTTTTATGTTACAATTTGAATTGTTTGATTTATTTTTATTTTTACGGATGATCAAAAAATAAATTTCTGCATTATGTTCCCTGACATAAAGATAATGGCCTTTTTCAGCGCCAGCAAAAATTATTTAAAGTTTTTTTGACTAACTTACAGACTTACTCATGCTGTTAGTATTTTTGTTTGTTTATTAAAATTTTTGATGTCATTATAAACGTTGGAAATGTAGTGAACAAAACAAAATCTAGATTTAAAATTCAAATGCTAAGCATTGACTCATTGATTTGGTTAGAAATTAAAGACTCGAATTTACAAACTTTGCTTAACACACACGCAAAAAAGCGAATCCAAATCAAAACACTTGAAATTTGACACCTTGATGCGAAATGTTTTTCAGCCAATAGAAAACTAAGAAACATTTAAAAACAAAATTCAAATAATCTTCAATGCTCAGAAAAAATTCTTTTACAGACCCTTTTGCGAGCCAACGTGAAGTTTGTTGTCCAATGGAAAGGCCCGAATCATATCCGGGAGTGAATTCCCAAATGACCTTTTCAAGCCCCACAGACAAGATAAAAGACGGGCAAGTTTGCCTGTCACCAGAGAGGAGGAGACGAGCGTATTAACACGTTCCTTGACAAACGTCAGGCGATCATTATTATTATCTCTACCTTTCTCCCTCACCTTTTTTATACTTGATAAACGAACGGAACATTTTAAGACTGAGCAATTACTTCAAAGGCATTCCTACCCTACGATAATGCTCATACATACATGCACACATACGTTCCTGCCTACGTACACATAAACTCATTCTTGCAAGGACTACTACGAACATTTTGATGACCTTGTATCAACCAAAATACATTAATTTTATTTGTAGAGACCTTAATTGATTTATATGTATATAAATTTGTTGTTTCACTTTACAATTTGATTTTCTTGTTGTATAGTCCTCTTATGGTGGGTTATTTAACTAACAAGGCCAAATCAAAATAATCTGTTTCAACACTGATACATTTCACTATAATTGATAACCCACTATAGAAATGCAGTATGGATAAAGAAATAATTTGGTTAAGAAGTTAATACTGACTTGAAAAAAAATTCCACAAAGTTTTATAATTTATGGGCTTCTATATTTTTTTTATTTATGGTGTGATGGACCAGTGGGTAAATGAACCAATACTATTTATATTATTATACTTTCAACGTACAGGATTCAAGTAAACAACAAAACTCCAAATGTGAATCAACAAGTATATATTGAAATAACATACAAGGACAAAACATGCAATAAAATTGTATTCAATGTATAGATTAAGGGAAAGAAGTTGTTCCCCTTTAACTGTATTTTGATTTGTAATTGATTGTCCAAAGAAGGTCCTCTTGAGAGAAAAATGTTCAGGAATCAATATTAGAACAAAGGACTGTTTGTTAGAATAGATAACTCAAGAATACAATTAATCAAAAAGTGTGTTGTGTTAGAGAAATTAACAGAGTCTTGGTTGATTGAGCTTGGCTAAGTCAGAAAGAAATATATATATAAAGATATATATATATAAAAAGCACATAAATAATGAAAATGAGAAAATTGGCAGTCAATTGTTGAAACCTCCTGATGAGTAGACTGAATGATTAAAGATAAGTTCGTCTATGAAACTCAGCAGGAGTTGATGTGCTTAATACATCATCAATCATCTAAGTGACAAATTTTATATTTGTATTAATCCTATCTCTCTCTTTCTCTCTCTCTCTCTCTCTCTCTATATATATATATATATATATATATATATATATATATATATATATATATTATCTTTAGTGTATTGGGGCAGCAGATCATTATTTAAACATATTATTAAATATAACAGACAATGAATATCTATTATGTTTCACCATGAGCCATTCTAATGTTTGAATGTTTGCTTTAATTTCTGGTGAAAATAAAGAAAAAAAATTGTCCAACATTTTGATATTTTTTATTAAGTTGGTCCTAAGCTTTCGGCTCACATGAGCCATCCTCAGAGTGCTTATACAGATATGAAACAAAGATATCCACCGTCAAAGATATTTTGTTATTTTGACATAGAAGATTGCTATGAGATGCTAATTTTACCAGAAATTAAAGCAAAGATTTGAACATTAGAATGGCTCATGATCAGATATTAATAGACATTCATTCTCTTATATTTAATAATATATGTTTAAATATATATATATATAAGTTAAAGATCAAATGTAGATCAGATATGGATAGGAACCCAAGAAGGTGATAAAATAAAGTAAAGAACAATGTAGAAAATGAATCTGAATCTAACATGTTTTACCTTTATTAAGGCTTCATCAGAAATCGAGAATAGAAATAAAAAAGCAAAGAGACAGTGTATGGGATTCTCAATCTCTGATGAAGCCTTAATTGATTGAGATTTGTTTTCCTACTTTGTTCTTTATTTCATTTTATCATATATATATATATATATATATATATATATATATATATATATATATATATATATATATACATGATAAAGAGACAGTGTACTGGAATTGGAATGTTATGATTTTGGGCAGTTCTCATTGGTCACACCTGTGTCACGTATATAAACACAATAGATAATATAAAATATGTGTGAGGAACATTTATGATGTTAAAGTGTGTGATAGTGTAAGAGGGTGTAAGTAAAGAAACACTTGTGTGTTTAGGTGTATGTAAGACAATAATGTTAATTCATGTAAGTATGTATGTACATGAGTGAAGTCTACAGATGTCGCTCGTATTTTGTTAGTGAAATGTAGCAATATGTCACAAAATAATTTTGTATTTGGCTGTATTTTTATATTCTCATGTATGTGTGTGTGTGTGTGTGTGGTCAACAACTCTGTGTGGGTTGGTGATATATATGATCATGCTATGTTTATGGGTAAAAGTGCTCAATATCTGGGATAGAGCATGTGTAAATATAAGAGTGAGCATTCTTCAGGTCTGTAGATTGTGTTCAAGCATGAAAACAGATGTTGCCACTCTGGGATGACCTCAGTGTCCACCCTTATATATATATATATATATATATATATATATATATATATATATATATATATATATATATATGCACACACACATGAAACAGACGTTGCCACTATCTGATGACCTCAGTGTCCACACACACACACACACACACACACACACACAAAAGTTCACAATACTTATCTAGAAGCAATGTTAATACTCTTCTGGGCCAGATAACATTAATAATAATAAATCTCATAGCCAAGTGGTTAAAACTTTCATTTTATGCCCATGAGATCTGGGTTCAAATCGCACCATAGTTGAATTGTCAGGGTGGTTACTTCATGATATTAATTATTGGCCTCCAGAGTTGATCCCACCATGTGGCACCTTTGGAAAATGCTTGAAATTAATACCACAAGTTAACTTGAGCTTTGTGAGTGAAATTGTGTAGATGTAACCGTTCAGAAGGCATTAATGGTTGTAGTAGCACATAAGTCACAAGCCATCATGACTAACGATTTGACCATACTGACCTTGTTCAAAAGATTTGATCATACCAGATTATGTGCTTTCTCCCAGAAACTGGAACTAAGTAACATTTATTAGCTTCATGTATGTAATATTTTGCAACACAAGCATGATCCTTAAGCAAGAGTATTATAAGAGACAACAAAAATATCAAAAATATAAACTAAGCATTTTGCAAAATTCTCTTTGGAAATGATTTGCATATTATTTAAAAGGAAGTAATTCCAACAAAGTTCCTTTGATAGGAAAGAAAATACAAATGTTGCTCGTAGTATGATGACAAAATTAAAAGTTATGAACAATATACATGATGCTTATTGTTACTTCAAAACTTTGAATTGTCAGATTATATATATTAACAGAATATGTATCTAAACGTGTATGCAGTGAATATAGAAAAAACAAGTCTTTACCCCTAGAACATGGGTATATAGTACCCAGCACAAATTTTCCTATTTTTAATTAGTTTTCAGTACCTGATTTTCTTACCTAAATAATATGTTTTTCAATTCCAATTAATGTTAACTCAAAGTACAAAGTTTGAAGTACCTGCATGTAAAATATTTCAAATAAAGATTTATATTTAATATTTTTTTTGATATTTTCAAAATCGGGTATGATATACCCATGGTTAGTAGTGTTGTAACTTTAATTGATGTTTAGTGTTCTAGGGTTAAATATAGTTTTATATATTGAAAATGGCTTCTTGAAAGAGCATTTTGAAAAGGTTGACATCAGCAAACAAAAATTAATAACTTGAGATTAATGTGCTGCTTAATATTTAAATATTCATCTCATAGTCTAGTGGTTCCCAACATTTTTGGGGTCATGCCTCACCTATGCATCTTGATGGCCCTTTGTGACATAATTCTTATTCTTCAAAAAAATAAACTCCTGTTCACATGGAGGAAGTCTAAAAGGCTATTAACTTGGTCTAAACAAGCTTCCGAAGAACATGGCATCCATGAAAGAGAAAAATAAAAGAATGTGTCGGAGTTAACGCCTCCTTAATTTCTTAATTGTTCACTAGGGCGCGCTCTCCCTACACTATAAATACTGGGCAATTTCTTGCCTTGTTCTCTTTTTCACTTTGCATTTCAGCGGACACATTTACAAGATGTAATCTCTCGCAGAGATCTGTGTTTTGTCCTCTTGTGGGAAAACCCAATGAAACACATACACACATACACGTACACATGAACATTCATCAAAATACGAACTCTTTATGTTCATGCACAAACACAAATGTTAATGTCTTTGTCCATTGTAAATCTTGTTTAATATATATACTTGTTGTATATATATGTATATATATATATATATATATATATATATATGAAGAAAAATATATACGGAAAAAACAAAACAAAAATCCTTATATACAATTATGCTGTTTTAATGTTAATATGTCAATGTCGGACGTTTCGGTCTAATAAACCATCTTCAGGACATATTCATAAATATATTGATAATGTTATATTTATAAATATGTCCTGAAGATGGTTTATTAGACCGAAAACGTCCGATGTTGACATATTAACATTAAAACAGCATAATTGTATATAAATTTTGTTTTGTTTTTTTCCGTATATATATTTTCTTTCATACACACACGATCTATATCCATATATTTGCTTACATATATATATATATATATAGATATATCGGTCTTGTTTGTTTTCTTTACATATCTTTAGTTGGACTCAACTTGAGCCCACCATATTCTTGTAGTGGACTTTCTTTTATCAGGAGTTACACACGTGTTCCTAATTTAATAACATGTAAACCCACAGTCTGCTACTAATGAAAGGATAATTGAAGTACTGAAGTACAAGAAATTGTTAAAAATAATATGTATATTATATGCAGTACGTATGTATTTACACATGTACATACATACACACAAAAATTCTTATGTATGCTTGCTGCATATTCATTGTATTTTTACTTGCACACACACATATTCATACATTGACTCACTGGAAAAATTTACTGTTATTAACTCATTTTTGAATTACCCCACTTAAAAATCCTATTCCCCCTCTCCTCTGGTGGGGCATGCACCCCATATTGAGAACCACAGACATATAGGCCTAGTTTTAAAATACCTCATTAATGTAAGAATTTGAAAGTTGTTGATTTCATTGTTAAAAAGTTATTTATAAAAATGTACTATAATTGTTACTAAACGTACAGTTTAGAATAAACACTTGTACCCAGATTACTGATTTGTTTTTGATGATTAGAAATTGACTGATGAGCACAATTTTAAAATTAAACAAAATCAGGATAATAATATTTATTTTACTACTAGGCATTCTTTAAATTCATCATTAACATTACATTTACATTTGTTTAATGTGCATATTTTTCTTATTTTTCAGAATATTTTTTATAGATTTTACAAAATGTCATTTTCTGTAGCAGATATTAGATCATTAGCCAATTTGTTAAAACAACCAGAAGAAGATTCTGATAGTGATGGGGAACAAGTAAGTTTATACAAGTAATTTTGAAAAGATTATTTTATTCTATATTTCATATTCATACATTCATTTTTTTACGCATTTTTTTTTGTTAATGCCATTTAATAATTTGTTCATCTGAGCAATTTACTTGTGTTTTAGACTTTTTATAATTTTCACTTGACTTTTAAAAAACTTTTTGCTTTAATAAAATATTTTATTTATTTTTTCTTCAGTTATGATCATCTTGCATTTTATTATTTTTTATTTTTTTATACTCCTGAGAAAATGATTCAAACAAATATTTAAATGTATGTTAAATAATTCTTTTGGTTATTATCTGTTTATGTAAATGATACATTTTTATATCTCATAATGATGTAGTTAAAAATTAAGATGATTTATTTGTATCTGTTACTTGATATTAAAAAGTATGCCTTTAAAATAAAATACTTATAAATATTATAATACACATATGTGTAATTATTTGACAATTACCTCATATTTGAAGTATAGTCTAGTTATTTTATAATATTTTTTTTATGATATTCTACATGTTTTTATGGTTATGGAGGTATAGTGGAGTAGTGGATAGTGTCTCAGATTCAGGAATTGGAGCTTGAATTCCAGTTGAGTCTGTTACATTTACTTACATGCAAATACCCTTGGGAAAGGTTTCTCTTCTCTTCTCTTAGCTATGGGTAAATAGCAAGACAGACCTGGATGGTAACCGGTCTAGGAGAAGGACAACTCTGAATTTAAAACCTCCAGCTATTTGTTAAATAGCCTTAACAATCTGCAATTGGTCCATTGTGGTGAGTACGGCTACACCTCTGAAGACATCATTAGTCAGGGAGGGGTTCCTTCAAAGGAGTGGGAAGGTCCTAGATCTGGATTTGGATCTGGATCTGGATCTGGATAATGAGTTTTCATCTGTTGTACATTTATTTTACTTTTATTTCATGGGGTCTATGCTCAAGAGAACAACCAGATTTAGTTTAGAAACAGCAATTTATTCAGTAACTCTTCTTCAATTCAGAAAAGAAAAAAACGAAAACTAAAGGGCATGTACCTAAAAAAAAATCCCCACGATGTTTATCAAAAATGGCAAACTTGTATGCCTGGGAGTTCAGAGCAACAAAAAAAAAATTAATAATAATCATCATTATTATTATTATTATTATTATTATTATTTCTGCTATGGACACACTACCTACCAAGTCTGCGGAAAGACCTAAGGCAGGTCGTGGTGTGTTGTTATGGCCACATTTCATGTTAATTTTTTTTTTTTTTTTTTTTTTTTTTTTTTATCTCCGATGAAGTTGCTAGCGTTACATAAACAAAGTTCTCCTTAGTGTGTGTGCTGTACTTAATAAGACAATTTTCTGTATGTCTCTTAAGCTGGGGTTTCAGGATTCTTTCAATGTGTTGTTTTGTTCCATTTTTTATAATTCCAAGTGCACCTATTACCACTGGTATTATTCTTGTTTTCAATTTCCACATTTTTTTCTATTTCAATTTCCAGGTCTTTTGTATTTTGATAGTTTTTCAAATTCCTTGGTTTGCTATGTTACAATCCGCTGGACAAGCCATATCAATTAGTAGGCAAGTTTTTTTTTTCTGGTTTTTTGACAATAATGTCCGGCCTATTTGCTTCAATTTTTCTGTCTGTGTGGATGGTATAATCCCATAGAATGGTGACATCTTCTATTTCTGTAACCGGCGCTGGCCGATGTTCATACCAGTGTTTGCTTTTGGCACATTTTCCAAAGTGTTTGCACATTGTCCAGTGTAAGTATTGCCCCACTCTATCGTGACGATTTTTATATTCATTTGGGGCAAGTATAGAACATCCTGAGATTAGATGGTCTATTGTTTCTTGGTATTTGTCACAGAACCTGCATTTTGGATCCACATTATTATGTATGATATTTGCCTGAAAATTCCTAGTGAAAAGACTCTGGTCTTGCGCTGCAAGAATAAAGCCTTCAGTTTCAGACTTTAATCCAGATGCTCGTAACCATCGATGAGTATTAACTTTATCAACATTGGGTTTATTTGCACGTTCTGGATATTGGCCATGCAGAGGTTTGTCTTGCCAGCGTTGTTTCATCTGTTCAAGGGCTTTATCCTTGGCTTTCTTTTTCATATCTTTTGCTGCAATAGTTGGTTCTTGGCTTCTGTTTTGATTTACTACAGAATCTACTAAATGTAAATGTTGTTTGTATTTACTGCCTTCTTTTATTATTGAATATTTTTTCTTTCTGTTTTCATGTTGTTTCACTTTATTATTATTATTATTATTATTATTATTATTACGACTCCTATTATTATTGATGTAATTAATTAATTTTTATTAATGAATTAAATTTTTTTATTAATTAGAAAGAATATTTTTTCCCATGAAGTAAAGTAATGATAGTCATTATTTTTTGCAAATTGTACACATCTACCTGAACATGTGACAGTTTGTTAATGCATCAATTGTTCTTGATGTATTTTCTGGTGTGGATTTGGTTATCTGAACAATAGAGATTTTATGATTGTTTTATTGTGCATATTATTTGTGTCTCTGTGAGAGATTGTCAAAATTTCAATCATTAAATAAATATTGCTTTTTTAATACCTGTTAATATTTCTCTTATGGAAACTTTGTCATGAAAACAGCTTTTGGCAAGAGACTCTTGGATGGATGCTTCCCCAAACACTAGAATCTTAACCTTTTCAATTTGTCCCAAAAATCCAAATAATTTTCAATTCCTACTCTTACATTTCTAGCATGCACCTCATTCAGTTACTCTCTACTTTGAGTGGCTCTTGAGTCTTGTATTGGGTGAGCATTAGTAAAAAGAAGAAATACCACAGCTATGCACATAGCTAAATTGATTTTATAATCTGATTGTTAGGAGGAAAACAGCTTTTTGCAAGAGACTCTTGGATGGATGCTTCTCCAAACACTAGAATCTTAACCTTTTCAACTTGTCCCACAAATCTAAATAATTTTCAGTTCCTACTCTTACCTTTCTAGCATGCATCTCATTCAGTTACTCTCTACTTTGAGTGGCTCTTGAGTCTTGTATCATTAGTAAAAAGAAGAAATATCACAGCTATGCACATAGAAAATGAAACAGACAACCAACTTTATTAGAGATGAATAGAGGATAGAATTTTGTTGATTTATTATTTCAGGACAATCATCTGCTACAATCATCTACTACCCTGTTTGCTTGATTTGCAGCATTAAAATTTAATTTTTATTTTTTAAACATCAAATTTGGGGAATATTAAGAGCAAATCATTATTTAAACTCCTTAGAATGTTCTAAAGTGTTTTAATTCTTATTTTATTCTTATATTATTTAATTTATTTATTCTTATATTATTATAATTATTTAGTATTAATATCATGATTAATTATTATTTTATTATTTATTACTATATTATTCCTGTATTATTTATTCCTATATTATTATTATTATTATATTATTTATTACTATATTATTCCTATATTATTTATTCCTATATTATTATTATTATTTGTATATTATTTAATTTCTATATTATTCCTATATTATTTATTCCTATATTATTATTATTAGTATTCCTTTATTATTGTTGTTATTTATTTCTATTATTATTATTATTATTATCATTATTTATCCTCATATTATACCTGTATTATTATTTATTGCCATATTATTATTTTTATTATTTATTTCTATATTATTCCAATATTATTTAATTTATTTATTCCTACATTATTATTTATTCCTAGATTATTATTTATAATAATAATAATAATAATATTAATAATAATAATAATAATAATAATTATTATTATTATTATTATTTATTTATTTATTTATTCCAATATTATTATTATTATTTATTCCTATATCATTATTGTTTATCCTATAATATTTAATTTCTATAATTAATTTCCATATTAGCTATATCAAGGCAGTGCTTCTCTTGGACCTGGTAATATTGGTGAAACTAAGAAACAAGAAAAGCCTACATTTAAGAAAGGTAAGTATACAATATAATAAAATTGCTATATATTATAACTTTTACTTAAATATGTTTTGAAAGCATCAGGTAATAGTTTTTATCTTGAAAAGAAAATCTTCTAAATTTGAAAATTTTTTGTAATAGTAAACATTCAATTTCCTCAGTTTTCTATATGATGTATATTAAATTGAAGGAAATAATAATGATGAATAAATTTAAAACACCCTAAAGGATTGTACTAATTTTGATTTGGGTACATGAGTTAGTAGATATTATGATAAAAATCTTAACTCCCCTTATCTTTTGACCTAGTAATATTTATTCTAATGCCCTGTCTGCAGTGATGTGCAGAGGTTTTATGATGTTTGATTATGCCTGGAGCCAAACTCCTTGATTGTTTGCCCCCCCGCCCCAGATTCAAGTAGGGGGGGGGCTATAGAACCTAGTACTGAGAAATGTAAGAAAGGGAGACATTTTAAATCTGTAAAAAAAGATGAAACATGAAATAAACACTTTATTTAAATTAAATATAAACTAAATTTTTATTTCACACTTTGATTGGATGCCTCCTGATATAGATGCCCAGGGCTTTTGCAACCTCTGCTCACCCTTCTACACCTAGTGACATGGTGATGTTTGGTGATGTCCAAAGCCAACCCCTTGATTGTATGCCCCCCCCCCCAAGACTCAAGTAGGAAGAGGGGGGGAGGGAGGCTAATACTGAGAAATGTGAGAAAGGAGGGACATTTTAAATCTGTAAAAAAAGATGAAACATGAAATAAACACTTTATTCAAATTAAATATAAACTAAATTTTTATTTCACACTTTGACTGGATACCCTCCTTATATGGATGCCTGCAGCTGTTGCACCTTCTGTTTCCACTTCTACATGCTACTAACTGTCTGTGGATGAGTTTTGATAGTGTTTAATGTTGTAGTAAGGTCCAGTATCCTAGATTCAGAGCCTAGTGCAAACAGTGATCTACCCTGTTAAGCTCCTAGCTATGGATAAAGTGAACCCCCAAATAAAAACAAAACACTCTGGAAGTATAAAAGTACATTTTGATAGTAAAAATACCAACAATACAAATTTCTATAAAAAATGTCCAACAATACATTTTTAAAGCAAAATGACCCACAATACATTTTATCTGTGGTTGAAGCCATAAAATTGTGTTGAAAATATTTAGATTTCAGCATTAAATAATCCATAGAGGTTTATATACACTAAACAAAATCAACCAAATTTTCTATGCATTTCAGCATATAATACCTAATCTTAATAAAAATATTGATAATAACCTGTTTTGGGATTGTTAGGTTTTATTATGCAAACAAAGTGTAATATAAATTTTCAAGAGATATAAACTATGAAAAAATATTTGATTAACACAATATTTCATATACTTGAATAAAGTATAATTCATTTTACAAGTTAATATGTGCTCTTTAACATTCTATAATCTTCATCAGTCTTTCAATCATTGATTTTGTTAACTTTTCTACTGTTTTAACTTTATTTTTTTTATAGGAGTAAACAAGTGTGACTTTCAAAAGGTTTTGTTCCTTCCTACAAGCATTCTTTTCTTGAATATTATTTTCCTTTCTAATATATATCTCTTAATCATGGATCACAAGTTTTCTATTGTATTTTGTCTACATCCAGAGGAAGTTGCATCAGTTTAATTTAATGTATTTGAAACCTTTTCTGGCAAAATAGGCAGTAGTTAGTTTTTCAGAATGAGAAGAAGCATTGTCATACATAAATATAATCTTTAATAATTCTTTGTGTTTATCTTGACACTATAATCAACTTCTGTAATTTTACTGCTTCCAATACTATCCCAAAACATTACTTCACCTTACTTCTGTTGTCTTCCATCTTAAGGGATGATTATGTTCTTTTCAAGGGGGTACACAATGTATTGGAGTGGATTTTTAGTTATGTAATACATCTTGAAATCTAGTAGCAAAGTGAAATCCAGGATGTCTGGTAGAGTATCAGTTGCCTTGAATGACCAGATAAAGTTTTAATACAATTTAATGCCCTTATAGTGATTGAAGGCATTGATTTGAATTCAGAGTTTTCCTCTAACATAATTTGTAAATGCTTCTTGTTATCTTGCTGGTTGACTATTTTCATGAAGATCTTGTGGTAAGTGTGTTGACATCAGGAAGGTTACAAGTGTGGATAGATGGTAGGATAATTATTTTATTGGAAACTTTGGGAATAAAATGAAAGGAATCAAAGGTTAAAATAAATAATATATATTTATTTATTTTCTTTAGAGTGATGAGTGAATACTTTGTTATTTCAGTGTAGCAAAATGTTCATTAATAAGATGGATATTGGTATCAATCTGGAGAATGGTCCAGTAGTTGTGTTTTGAATTAAGACTACAGTAGGGGTAGTAGTAATCTCAGAAATTAGGTCAATATGTTAGTCTATTGTTTTTCTCAGCCTTTAGCAGGGTGGAAATATCAGTAATGAATGACTTCAACTACTTCTTCTTGTGTCACACATGGCTGATTTCTATGCAGTAGCGTTCTTTTGTTCCATCCTCTTCTGCTGTCTCTTCTGCCTCTAGCCCAGAGTTGTCAGGTTTATACCCTTTTGACCAGGCTCGTGAATTTGGTGCAAACATTGGTTTTGGCTAACATCAAAAGTATCTTTGTGTCAGTTTTTTTAATTGGCCAAATTATTTTATTTTCTGGCATTCCTTTCTTTTACATTATTTTTATTATAATGGAATTTGTCTGGAGCGTCCCTGATTATCGGTATTTTTCAGTCACAATTAAGTCATCTCTGCTTCTGCAAACTTCCTTGTCTTTTTTCCTTTATCCATTTTTTTATTTGATGGTTGTCTTCATGTAGGTTGCGAGAAGTATAGAAAGAGAAGTTGAGAGAGAGAGAGAGAGAGAGAGAGAGAGAGAGAGAGAGAGAGAGAGAGAGAGAGAGGTTTTTCAAAGGAAATCACAAATGCCTAATTTTAATTTTTAATTATTTTTATTTTTGTTTATATATTTTATTTTTTATTGGGACTCACAACAAATTCAATCTCTAGCTCAGTCATTTGGTTCATCCAAAATAGTGCTACATTAATCACAACAAACTCAATCTCTAGCTCAGTCATTAGTTTCATCAAATATAGCTCTACATTAATCACAACAAACTCAATCTCTAGCTCAGTCATTAGGTTCATCCAATATAGCTCTACATTAATCACAACAAACTCAATCTCTAGCTCAGTCATTAGGTTCATCCAATATAGCGCTACATTAATCACAACAAACTCAATCTCTAGCTCAGTCATTAGTTTCATCCAATATAGCTCTACATTAATCACAACAAACTCAATCTCTGGCTCAATCATTAGGTTCATCCAATATAGCTCTACATTAATCACAACAAACTCAATTTCTAGCTCAGTCATTAGGTTCATCCAATATAGCGCTACATTAATCACAACAAATTCAATCTCTTGCTCAGTCATTAGGTTCATCCAATATAGATCTACATTAATCACAACAAACTCAATCTCTAGCTCAGTCATTAGGTTCATCCAATATAGCTCTACATTAATCACAACAAACTCAATCTCTTGCTCAGTCATTAGGTCCATCCAATATAGCGCTACATTAATCACAACAAACTCAATCTCTAGCTCAGTCATTAGGTTCATCCAATATAGCTCTCCATTAATCACAACAAACTCAATCTCTAGCTCAGTCTCAGTCATTAGGTTCATCCAATATAATTTCTAGCTCACATTAATCACAACAAACTCAATCTCTAGCTCAGTCATTAGTTTCATCCAATATAGCTCTACATTAATCACAACAAACTCAATCTCTAGCTCAGTCATTAGGTTCATCCAATATAGCTCTACATTAATCACAACAAACTCAATCTCTAGCTCAGTCATCAGGTTCATTCAATATAGCTCTACATTAATCACAACAAACTCAATCTCTAGCTCAGTCATTAGGTTCATCCAGTATAGCTCTACATTAATCACAACAAACTCAATCTCTGGCTCAATCATTAGGTTCATCCAATATAGCTCTACATTAATCACAACAAACTCAATTTCTAGCTCAGTCATTAGGTTCATCCAATATAGCGCTACATTAATCACAACAAATTCAATCTCTTGCTCAGTCATTAGGTTCATCCAATATAGATCTACATTAATCACAACAAACTCAATCTCTAGCTCAGTCATTAGGTTCATCCAATATAGCGCTACATTAATCACAACAAACTCAATCTCTTGCTCAGTCATTAGGTCCATCCAATATAGCGCTACATTAATCACAACAAACTCAATCTCTAGCTCAGTCATTAGGTTCATCCAATATAGATCTACATTAATCACAACAAACTCAATCTCTAGCTCAGTCATTAGGTTCATCCAATATAGCGCTACATTAATCACAACAAACTCAATCTCTAGCTCAGTCATTAGGTTCATCCAATATAGCTCTACATTAATCACAACAAACTCAATCTCTAGCTCAGACATTAGGTTCATCCAGTATAGCACTACATTAATCACAACAAACTCAATCTCTAGCTCAGTCATCAGGTTCATTCAATATGGCTCTACATTAATCACAACAAACTCAATCTCTAGCTCAGTCATTAGGTTCATCCAGTATAGCTCTACATTAATTACAACAAACTCAATCTCTGGCTCAATTATTAGGTTCATCCAATATAGCTCTACATTAATCACAACAAACTCAATTTCTAGCTCAGTCATTAGGTTCATCCAATATAGCGCTACATTAATCACAACAAACTCAATCTCTTGCTCAGTCATTAGGTTCATCCAATATAGATCTACATTAATCACAACAAACTCAATCTCGAACTCAGTCATTAGATTCATCCAATATAGATCTACATTAATCACAACAAACTCAATCTCTAGCTCAGTCATTAGGTTCATCCAGTATAGCTCTACATTAATCACAACAAACTCAATCTCTGGCTCAATCATTAGGTTCATCCAATATAGCTCTACATTAATCACAACAAACTCAATCTCTAGCTCAGCCATCAGGTTCATCCAATATAGCGCTACATTAATCACTAAAAATTATTCTTAAGGGATCAGTTTTCATGCACTTTTCTATCTGACTTTCATGTATTTCAGTGATGTTTATTTAAAGGTGGTGGTTTGGTTGCTTTCATGCCTTTAGCCAATATTTACAATACCAACTTTGTCAATGCACTCTTATGTTTTCAAAAATCTCTTTTTGTGTTATTCTTGAAGCTATATATTTGCTTTTATCTTGGTAATGTTTTCATTTTTTTTTTATTTGTTAAATAATTTTTGTATTTTCCATCACTGTGTTCTTGTTACTCTTTTGAGATTATATCTTTATTCGAACCCATATTAATCCTTATATATCACATATTTTAAAACATATATAAGTAACTATGCTATTATATATATATATATATATATATATATATATATATATATATATATATATATATACACATACACACACATTGTTACATAATAAAATCTACTAAATATATTATGAATATTTAAAAAAATAAAAACATATTATAAGATGGAATTTACTTGTTTTATTTACAATATAAATATATTTTGGAAAACTGTTTGGCTAATATCAATTATATTGTGAAAACATTGATTTTCATTATAAAATTTGATATAGAATAATATAGGCTACAAACCAAGAACATGTAATGAATTGAAAAGAAAAAAAACTTGTTTTGTTATGTTTAGTAACTCTTTCTTCTGATCATTTTTTATTCCTTACTTATCTCCCTTTAACAGTTGGTTGATTTTTCTATATAATGCACTTTATTGTTAATGTTTTATTTTCCTTAGATTTAAGTCAGTCAAAAGATATCTGGCATCCTGAAGAAATCAATGCAGGATCAGAATTTGATTCACTTTCAGATCCACGTCCGCAACCAGAGTAAGTGTTAGATAAACCATTTCGGTTATATTATTCATTCAGAATTTTCCAATTATTTTAAAATTTAAATTCATTTGTATAAGCATTACAAAATTTTGTTTATATATGAAATGTAGGCCAGTATAGTTACTGCCATTTTTAAAATATGGTTCAAATTGGTTCACTTTTCTTTATTATTTATGAAATGTTTAATCATTGTCTTTATCTTGTATCCAAGAATTATTTTTTTTTTGTTGATTACCCAGAGTAGAAGAAAATGCTGATGGTGTGAATTTGTTTAAGTGGACCAGGAAGTGATCCACATATTTGATTTCATGATCTTCCTCTGTGGCACATATGGAATGAAACTTGCAGAATACGGTTATGAAACTGCAACAAACTACCACTAACTCTGTTGTAATTGGGACTGAGTGGGGCTTTCTGTAGCATGTTTGCCATTCATAGCCCTCTTCATCTGTTGATTTAATTGTTGAGATCTGTTGTAATCAACATCCACTTGTTCCACAATTGGGTTCTTTGGGGTGGGTCACATTTAGTCTGGGTCCTTGTCTTTGACCTTGCTACCAAGTGTGGCCCTCCCAGAAATTTAGAACTCCCAATTTCATTGACGTTAGAGTCATAGGACCATGCAAATCTCTCTATCACGAGAAGGGAAATGTTTAATACATTAATTATAACTTACCCACATTCATATCCTGAACTTCCATTACTCAGATTGTTATTCAAACTGAGAATTTCTTTTATTTGTTCTAAATATTTGTTCTCTATATATACTTACCTAAGTGGAAAAATGTATGACAAAGTGGAAAAAGTTTTCTTGTGACATGTTTTATCCTTTAGGAATTCATCAGACTAAATTTGTTATGTTGGTGTGACTACACATGTGTACGAATGAGAGATAGATTAAAAAAAAAAAGAAAATAAAAAATTTCCAGTATCTCTTGTTCATGCGCATGTGTAGAGGACGAAATGCATTACAAGAAAACCTTTTCCACTTTGTCATACATTTTTCTTCAATATTGTTCTTGATATATAAAAATATATATCATTATCTCATACTTATCTAAGTAATTAGGAAAATGGGATACATACTATTTCTCTTGTAATTATTTTTCTTTTGCTTTTTATTATTTTATTTTTAGTCTTTGTTTTGTTTTATTATTATTATCCTTTCTCTTCCATTTTTAATATATACTTTTTATGTATTCAATTTTTGCTTATTCTGTTGTAGAGTAAGTAGCCATGGTTAAATGTGGAATAAATGATAGAACTGTTCAACAAATAGAATTGACAAAGTTTGCAATAAACAATAGCAAGAAAAATGAAAGAAGAAAACAGGGTAAAAAATAATAGAAAGCAAGCAAACAACATGTCAAGAATGAAGACTGAGACTTGGAGATAACTTCATCCAAGCTTTATTCAGTAAAATACAAGCAGGGTTCACATCATATGTGCTCCTGGTAATCTCAAATATGGCTGACTGTTGTAATCTGGAGAAGGGGCTGTAAAGAGTGTCGTAGTCCATCTCTTATTTATGACACAACATATGCAAGGAAAAGCAACAGTAATATAGCAAAAAATTTACAAATTAAGAATTGGGGTTGACACACAAGATCAAGTTTGGATAAGTGAACATAGCATTCTGACTTCAAGACAAGACAAAGACTGAAACTATCCCAGCATACATTTCTGTGCTTCTGCCTATTAACTGTGGAAGGGAAAGTGTTTTGCAATAATTCCAGCAGGAATTGAAACCAATATCTGTCTTACTCATTGTCATTTTGCAGACTATTTTCTGTTGTTATATTCTATCATTTGTATATTTATAAACATTTTTAAATTCATTTTTGGTGTTCATCTTTAATAAACTACAGTATTCTTAACCTTTTTTTATATACTATAAAAACTATTAAATGAAAGTTAAATTACAGGCACTATGTCCATATATGACTGCCTGTTTGGACAAATGTAGTAAAATATTTGGAGAGACTAACATGTATTTATTATCAATTTGCATAGAAAGTATGAGAAAATTGTTAGTGAACAAAAAATTACTTATGCTTGAGCTATTTTACCAATCTTGATACTTGTATCCATTAGAATAAAAAGAAAATTTATGATAGTCACTTTACCAAGATGACATTTAAATAAGACAAGTTAAATATTTTATGACAAATTAAATTTTGTTCATTTCTGTTTTAGATATGAAATACTTTACAAACAGTCAGTAACTACAGAAGATATCTTTTTACAAATGGGGAATAAAACTCCAAATACAAGTAGCTGTGAAAATATGATTGTAAGTATAAAAGTATATTTGAATGTAAAGATTTAATAAAATAAATGTATAAGAAAAAAATTAAAAGTGTAAAACATTTTCACTTTCATGTAGTAGCAAAATGTTAAATTAATCTTTTTCTCTAGTAATATTGATTTTTCAAAGAAAAAAATATTTATAGAAATACTGATATGAAATGTTATTTTTTTTAATTTATTTATTTATTTTTTTTAAAGCAATTCACCACAAGCAAGGTGTGAGTGCCACTAGCATGCAAGAGGTTACATAGGATTGAGAACAAGAGTAAAAAGGCATATTTGGGGAAAGAATACAGACAAGGACAGGGAACATATTCAAGGTGTCAGATGTCAATTGACATTACATTTGAATATTTGAAGATTATAGCCATCAGGGAAGCAAGTAAGAGGAAGAGAGTTCCACAGATGGGAAGTACGAGAGAAGAAGCTGTTTGTATAGAAGAGGCGGTTTGATTTGACCATTTTGACAGTGAAAGGGTGGGACTTGGTAGCTCGCTTAAATTCATGCAGTCTGGAAACCAGTGAAAGTAGCTCATTGGAACAGTTGCCATGAAAATACTTGTAGAAGAGATGGAAGGAGGCCACAGCATATCTATGGGGTAGTGATTGTAGACTAGATGCCAGATCAAGACCTATCATCTTGCATATTTGTCTCTGGATTTTTTTTATACTTAGAGAGTGGCTGCAGTGAAATATGCATGGACAAAGTGAAGAAATAAGTGAATCTCCAACACAACTCTACAAATTTAAATAATTTTTTTTATTATTTGAATATTATTTTTCTTTCAAGTTGAAATAAATCAATTATAAATATTCTTTGCAAAACAAATTCACACAAAATATTTTGTGTATCTTTTTTACAGTGCACCTGAATGAATTGTGTTAGTATAGGAGAAACAGAAATGTGTAACATGGGTGCACATTGTTTTATGTATGCATAATAATTTGCAGCAGTTGGCCACATGAATAAGCAGGGAAGCTAGCTTGCTACTGTTGATGCTTGTAACAAAATTAGTCTGCATGATTTTTATGTGTCAGTATTGCTATGCATTTTGTGTAATATATTCCAATAAATATGTGAAAAATGTGAATAATAAAGTGTGAGAATTTCAGTTTTGTTTGTATAACAAACAAACACCCTAATCAAAGGTTAACTGAAAAACTAAGTAGTGAACTAAAAATTGATCATTTATATAATGAAACATTGGCTCCAGAAAAAAATAAAAAATTAGATTCATTAATCTCAAGTTTATTGGTTAATAAATATTTTTCCAATTTTTAAATATCCATTTTAAGGATGGAAATTATTGATCATATTCTGAATTTATCTTCCAAAATTTTGTAGCAAACAGCAAATCTTAATTGTCTGCAAATTTAAAGGATACCACATGTCTTATATGATGTTACAAATTGATTAATATATATAAATATATAAATTCAAATTATTGGAGCTGACAAAAAGCACAAAAATGAGTTACTTTTTGAGTTTAAGTAATATAACTGAAATTTATTTAATTTTTCTCCAATTCTGTAATGGGGTTCCACATGGGAAAGCAAAACTTTTTAACTTTCCTACCAACCACAAAATCAAATGATGCAAAACCAAATGAAAAACAAAGATCATACTCTTAATTATTAATACACACTTATTTTAAGGAATGCCATTGTTGTATTGTGTTGTTCTATGACATGTGATCAGTAGTCAAATTATTTTTATAATTTCTAAAATTTCGACAAAAGTCAAATTCTCCAATTGTTTGGAATATGCCATAAAAGAAATTTTCATTATAGCTTCAGAACCTGCCAAAGCTAGAAAGAAGTTAATTATTTCATTTTCTCACCTTGGCTGTCTTTTAATGTTTTAGCCCTAGCATGGGCTGCAAAAAAACAGATCCAAGTCATGATAAATTCTGATTATCCAACCAACTTAAACATCCTATAGGTGATGCCATAATCATAGGAAATGGTTTCACAGAAAGACAAATGGCAAAGAATGTCAGAATTGCATTATGCACAAATTGACCCCCAAAAATGTTTCCAACACAATTAGCATATCCTTGTGGACTTGCTGTGGTGTGATGGAGAGAGAGTCTGAAAAACACACACAAACACACACATATATTTTTTTTTTTTTTAGTGAAATTGGACTGGATTTGAACAGCAAAAGTAAATCAGAGCAATTTCGTTTACTGATGGGAAATCTGATCTAGGGCATGAGCTGTACCCATTGGAAATGGGTCATTAGCAGACAATGGAAATGGTTGAAATAATTTTTATTGATTAAAACTGGGAATAGATTTGAATAGTGAAATTAAATCAGAGCATTTTGTTTACTGATGTGGAAATTTGATGTAGGCCAGAAGTTGTACCCATTGAATCTGGGTCATCAGAAGACAATGGAAATGGTCGAAATAATTTTTATCGTTTAAAAATTGAAATAGAGCTGAGTAAGCTAGGAGGACCTTTTGAATTCACATGATTTTGGTTGAAACAGCCCAAACCCTGTGATAATCATGTGCAGCCAAAGTTCAGTTGTAACCAGCTGGATTTTTCTATATAAACGCGTAGTTATGCTGAACAAAGTAGAGATGGGAGAAATTTCTTGAAGAGAGAAGAGAGAGAATTAGCCTGGGTGAGTGTAGAGTTGGGCGAGCAGGCAGATGGGAGAGAGACAGGTGCATGTTGAGATGGAGGAAAGTGATGTCAGAGATTGGAACGAAGTGTCCGTTAACATGTACTGTTGATATAAATACCGCTGCTTCTGCTACCATGAATATTACTACTGCTAAGGAGGAATGCCACTATAAACTTTAAGCCGTGCACAGAAATCTTATTCCCCCATCGCAAAAGTTGTATATCATTCTGAGACGATTTAACAACAAGTTAATCATAACACTCTCTCTCTCTCTCTGTGTCTCTCTCTATCTCTCTCTCTCTCTGTCCAGAATCCAGTGTTTGTGTTTTTATGTCAATTACTTTTCTTTTCTGTAACCCGTTTCTTTTCTATACTATTCTTTTCTGCTATATAAAAGACATTAACAATTCAATCATTGAATAGTTGTTTGTCCAGCTTTCTGCAGATATTATTATTATTTTTGTTTTTTTTGGCTGCATTCTAAATTTCTTAGTGCAGACTCTCCAGCCGTGTCTACATCTTCAGTGGACCGTGAATGGATGAACATCACTTCTGCTTTCTGGATCAAACCAAACACAATGTGGGCAGGAAGCAGGACTAAACCAGTGGACCGGTCGAATAATCTACGGATGCTCAGGGGACCTACGGCCACTCCCTTAAGTTCAGTTAGGACCGAGTAGACACCTCAACCCAGAGAGTAAGACGTTGGAGGTTGAGGGGCTGGGGCGAAAGTGTTAGAGTGGTAGCATCAACAAAGAGTACAATCAAAACTTTATTAATGCCCTCTAGACCAAAATTGCAAAAGACACAACAACATCTGTGTATAAGAGGGCTGCTGAAATAAAATAGAACTACAAAACTATCAGAACACATGATGACATGGATCTTAATCATACTCCAAGATGATGAGGCATGTCTTCATGGAGTTCATGAAAGCCAGGTGGCTTGAAAGTGATCAGCTACCTCAAAGATCATGGGTACACACTTAAGATATTCTTTGATAGGAAAATCTTCACAGTGAATGTTGCTTTTAACTTCCAAAGCAACTGTTGCCTTGCAGAGTCAACAGGTAATGTCAGGGGAACTTTCAGTATGGCTCAAGTCATGGCCTTGAGTATTGTGGCTTCTGATGAGTAAAAGATGCTCTTATTTTTCTGCAAATTTGGAGAAAAATAGGGTGCTGATGCATGTTTACTAGAAGGTCCCAAAGTACTGTTGTTTGTCATGGATCAAGAACTATTCTCAACCACACAGTGAAAAGAGTACAGAAATTCTGTAAGCTAATTTTGCTGACTTTTGGCCCACCTCCAGAGTGTACACTACAGGTTATCAACAAGGCCTCCCACCCAATATCAATACCTTCAAGGCTGTTGTCAAGGAGTAGTGGGCCATAATGTTTTGTAAATTTTGAGCATAATACATCAGTTGTTTATTTAGTTTCAATTTAATGATAAAATTTAATGTTATTTTCTTATATTTCATATTTAATGTTATGAAGACTTTGAAAAATGTAAATCTTCATTTGAAAATTTATTGTTCACTTATTTATTTAAACCTTTTCAGATTAAAATCAAGCTTCCTAATACAGAAATGAAAAATATTACTCTGGATGTAAAATCAATATTTCTAGATGTACGGACACCTAAATAGTGAGTATTACTAAAGTTCTCTTAATGAATTATTCCTTATCTTATTTAGTTTTATTGATGTTGTTTTTATAGGTTAAATGGATTTTTGAATAGAAATTCATATCACACACCTCCTCCTTCATAACCATTTCAACATTAATGCTCTACTTTTATTGAGTCAATTTCAGTATAAACACACATGCCTGCATACATTTGAGAGAATGAAAATACATTATTTGATATTAAAAAGTTTAAGATACTCACATTTTTCTAAAAATGTAAAGGTATTTATACTTAAAATTAAAAGTTATTAGAATAATTCTAAAACAAATTAAATATTGAATCTATTTAATCAATTTAAAAATAGAAGAAAAATACTAAATGGAATTTTCATGAATTATTTAGTTAGAAAAAAGCAACTTATGATTTATGCAATCATGAAAATATTTGATGACTGCAATAAAAGTAAAATAGTTTTCTTTGAAAAGATACTTTCTTATTAGAATTACTGAGATAAAATCTTTAACTTCAAGTTTAATAATTTTTTAAAAATATTATAATTCTCATTTAATAAAATATTTAAATTCATTATTTTTTATGAAATTTTCCAACTCCCCAGTTTATTAAACCCACTTCATTTATTAATTTTACACTTTGACCTTTTAAATGGTTTCTCAACCCTCTTTTATTAAGGCCCTTTTGTTTATTGCATATTGGGAAAATCCCAACATCTAATTATTATGCCCCCCCTCTTGTATTTAGCACCTATTTCTGTTAAATCCATTTGGTGTTGTCTAATAGGATAATTATGCATTTAGCAAAAATGACCATAATGTTCTTAAAAAAAATCAAATAAATGCCAAATCATATTGAATATATCCAATAAATATCTATCAGAATCAATGTCTGGATCCATTGATTTATACACTGGAGAAGAAGGTTTCACTTCATCAAATGACCTGTAGATATATACAAATGACCTGTAGATATATACACATACACAAATACACAGATGGCTTTGCTCATCAATGTGTGTGTGTGTGTGTTTGTTTGTTTGTTTGTTTGTTACACTGATATTTACCCAATACAAATCTTGAGAGCCAACGTTAAATTTGTAATGATCTGTGGGGTGTATGATATGAATGAGTAGCAGTTCTGTTAGTGAAATGTCCTTTTTACAACTGGAATATGGATGAAATGAGGATGATTTCTGTTGTGGCCTTGTTGGGGCCAGAATAAAGACACAAGAGTGGATTTGAGTTAACAAATATTTTAATGAAAATTGGTAATACAATAATATACAAACGAACAAGAATGTTAAGTCCAAACTGTCAGAGCTGACTGTTGGGAAAAAACTCAGCTTTTCTAAATGCAATACCTGCTTTTATTTGTAACTTCAGAGAGTCCATCTGTGTATGAATAATTTACCATAACACCCCCTCCTAAGTCTTAACTCTGCAGGAGTCTTAATATCTTTTCCTCTTAGGATTAACGATGATAAAGTCCATTCTTTTCCTTTTCCTCTTTAAATGGCATTGCTCTGGTGCTGCTTGGGGTATTTGTATGTCAAAAGTGTCATAAATGACATCCATTCCTTCTTGTCCTTCAGGAGGACTGCTGTCACCATTGTCTGACAGGCGTTTCCTGATTTGGTTTAAAACTTTCTCTTGTGTGTAAGCTGTGGACCTTTTAATATGAAAAAAACCATATTTCCTATCCTTTTTTTTAATTGTATCCATTTCCTAGAAAGATTTATTATTCTGAAACATCCAGAAAAAAACTTTCTCTCTGGGTTGGTAGTGTTTATTTGATACAATGTTTGTTCGTCCGAGTTTTGTTTATTTGGGGAGTAGTTTGTCGAACACAGACCTGCTTTTACGTACAAACATTACCTCGGCTGGGGGTTATGATGATGGTGTGTTGTCATTGGGCATAATTCTATACACCTGAAGGAACTTTTGTAGGGCATTTTCTGTAGGTGTGTCCCTAGCTTTCTTCAGGGCTTTTTTCAGCATATCAACAAAGCGCTCAGCCTGTCTGTTGGACCTTGGGTGATATGGGGTGGTTGTAATATGATTGATCTGGAAGGTCTCACAAAATACTTAAAATCACTGGATATAAATTGTGTTCCATTAACGGACACTAGACAATCAACTACCCCAAATCTGGTGAACAGTTCATGGAGGAAATTGATTGTAACTTCTGTAGTGGGTTTTCTACATATTCGGGCCATTTTGAAAAACTATCTACTACTATGAGATAGTAGAATCTGTCTAGCAGGCCTGCAAAGTCCACATGTATTCGGGACCATGGTCGGTCCATTTTAGGCTAAGAATTATATTTGACTGGGGGTGCCTTAGCTGCCAAGGCACAGCTTTTACAGGATTTTACGATGTTTTCCAATATCCTTGTCCATGTTCGGCTAGTACACATAAGTGTGCATAAGGCTTTTCATCCTTGAAATCCCTGAATGTCCAACATGGAACTCTTTCAAAATTCTTCTTTGTAGCATTGTGGGAATGACAACTCACTCACTATATAACAGTACTTCATCGCATAGAGAGAAAATATCTGAAGTCTGTTGGTCCTTTTCACGCATTTTGATTTTGGTTTTTCCTGATAAACTCATCATTTAGAGCTTCTCGTTTGATTTGGCCGAGAGTTGCAGGGAATTCCCTTACTGTGTTACACAATGTGGTTTTAATTTCACCTTCTGTTCAAAGAGAAGCAGTATCTGTGTTTCAGGATTAATCTGGATAGTCCATCGGCATGACAGAGTTATTTAAATGGTAGGAACTCTCTCTTGAAATTATAATTTAAAAGAATTGTTCTCCATCTCAGTAGTCTATTTGCTGTATGTACAGGTAGACGTTTTTTAGAACCGAAAATGGTAAGTAATGGTTTATGGTCATTCTACCATGAATGTACCGATGAAACTTTGTTACTGCAAAAATAATCCCTAACAACTCCTCAATTTGAGAGTAGTTCTTCTCTGCAGAAAGAAGTGTTCTGGACGTGTGAGCAACTGTTTTGTGAGATCCATCTGGCATCTTGTGTAGAATACATACTCCAATGCCATACAAGCTGGCATCACTGGCAACTATAATGCCCAGATCTGGGTTATAGTGGGTGAGAAACAAGTCCAACGTCAAGACTTCTTTTATTTTGTCGACTGCTTCCTGGCATTCAGGTGTCCACTCCCAGTCCTTGTCTTATTTTCAGAAGTTCGTTTAGAGGAGCACGTAAGTTGTGCATATTAGGTATAAACACTTGGTAGTAGTTTGCTAATCCTAAAAAACTTTGTAATGCCAAGACATTTTCAGGAACTGACATGTCCTTGATTGCAGTAGCCCGTTCTGGGTCTGGTCTTCTACCATCTTTGTTAAAAATGTGCCCCAAGTATTTAATCTTCTCCATAAAGAAATCCCATTTTGCTTCTTTCAATTTGAATTCTTGAGAAGACTTCATGAACATGTTCCATGTGTTGTACTACATTTTGGCTGTTTATTAGTTTATTAGTATGTCATCCAAATATGCGAAGTCACGACCACTCAGCATAGTGTCCATTACTTGTTGGAAAATTGCTGGCGTGACCTTGATCCTGAAAGGTAGATGTTGGAACTTGTACAAACCACGATGGGTGTTGATACAGAGCAAATTAGAACATTCTTCCTCTAGCGGTATTTGAAGATATGTGTCACTGAGGTTGAATCTCCTTTGACTTCATAGATGGTCAGTGAAGCCCATTGACTGTACTCAATTTTTGACAAGACCCTGGTTCGTTCTAATCTGTTGAGTTTGCCATTTGTTTGTGGTAAAGAGGTGAAAGGCACATTTTTTTTTTTCTTAAACACTGGCTGGATGTCATCTTTTAACTCGAATTTTGCCGTCATCTTATTACATTGACGAAGGCCACCAGAAAAAAAATTTCCGGAAAAGTTTCTTTTAAATCTTTTATTAGATTTTTTGCCTTGGTGGTCAGGTTTTTAAGTTTTTGGCAAAATCAATTAATTGGCATGTCCCAGTCGGTGCCAAATAAATTTTCTGTATTCTTTAATATGTACATTTTTAGTTTTAATGCCACTTTTATGCAAAATTACATTTGTGATAATTTCTCCTTAAAACTTGATTTTCTCCTCTGTCACGGACCTGGCCATTTTATTAGATCTTAGCATGCTTGGTTTTTCAAACTTTTTCAAGTGTGTAGATTTATGATTGTCAAATCTGACCCAGAATCCAACTGTAATTTGATATTTTTATTTAAGATTTGTACTTGCATGTATTTCCTAATGTTTTACTCATCTTGTTCATCTGATTTTGTGTTTTTTATGCAGCTATTAACCTTTTTTCTCACTCGGCAGTGTGAGCTCTTGTGCCTGATATGTCTACAAGTTAGGCACATTTTATTCTGGTAAGGGGAAACCTTATATCAATGTAGGGATCCACAACTGGAACATGGGTTAGGAAGCAAGTTGTCCTGTTTTTTTTTTAACTGGTTTGACTTAGAGGGAGAATTATATTGTTTTTTCTTTTGGCGTAGCTTTCTTATATATGCTACCCCAGATTCCTTGATATTTTTTGAATCTTGCTGTATGCTTACGAATCTCTGACAGTTTTCTGCTATTTGTTAGAGAGTAAGGTTTGGCTCATTTTCCAATTTGTTCAGAACTCCTCATCTAATATCAGACACTTGAAATTATTCGAACCCTTGTTGAGTTTGTAGTAGAATTTCTTCAAGTTTTTGTTGTCAGATTTCCATTTACTTTTGTAATGTGAGCCTTTCTTCTTCAATTTGCTTTTGAAGTTCACGTCTTTCCTTTTCAGTTTGCTTTTGAATTTCAAGTTGGCATTTAAGAAAATCTGGTATGGCGAATTTGAACTCGTCTGTTCAGTTTCCTTTTCTGTATTGCCAAGTACTGTTAAGTAGAAACAATATTGACAATTTCCATGTAGTCCTTTTGGGGTCCTTAAGGGTCCTTGTCGCCAAGTTGTTGGGGCCATAATAAAGACACAGTGGATTT